CGCTCGTGGCTGAGTATTGATCCTTAATAAGGCCAACAGCAGGCATTTAATCCAAGATATCTGAGTCTCAATCATTAACTTAGTCAAGGTTTGTTTTAAAGTTTGAATCATTCTTTCTCCTCTTCCAGAACTCTGAGGATGCCATAGGGTGTGCCATGCCCATTCGATCCCTAAGGCTTCAGATAGTTGTTGTATAATTTTTGAAGTGAAATGTGTTCCTCTGACCGAGTCTGTTCTTTCTATTAATCCGTATCTGGGATAATGTTTTCCAATAACACCTTGGATACCATGCTTGCCATTGCCCTTGGTGTGGGGGATTGCTTCCACCCAATGAGTTAAGTGAGCCACTAATACCAACAAATACTTTCACCCTTGTATTTGAGGTAGCTCTGTGAAGTCTACCTGGAGGCTTTGTATGGCTAGATCCCATCCCCCAGCCATCTTTCTTCTCATTACCTTTTTGTTCACTTTTTAACAAATCAGACATCGATCAACTAGTTGTTTGGCCACCGTATATATTCCTATACACCCATATTATCTAAGAAAATGATCACAAAGTGCTTGCGTTCCCCAATGTATTTTCTGATGTATTGATGACAGAATTTCTCATGATAATGTTTTATTTAACATCTCCCTTCCATCTGGTAAAGTCCATTTTCCTTTTGGATCTTTTTCACCCCCTGTTTTTAAGTATATCCTCCTCTTGTTCTCAGAAATTCTATCTCCTTCCCTTTTGTATTTATAAGCCCTCTTTCTTCCCATATTTTTCCAAATGTGTGGACCACTCCAAATGCACATTTCCTTATTTTTCAAATATATCAACACCTGTTTCAGGGCATAGAGTTCATAGACTTGCGCTGACCATCCAGTAGGCAATCTCCGTTTTTCTAACACTACCATTTTCTTGCCCATTGATAGTTGCATAACCTGATATTCTTCTCCCTTCCAGGCATTGAGAGGACCCATCAATAAATAGCTTTTCCCCATAAGGCAAAGGTTCATCTAACAAATCTTCTCTTACTTTTGTTTGATAATTTATAAAATCCAAACAGTCATGTTCTGGTTCCTGAACATCCTCCCCGTATAGAAATTATGAGGGATTAATCTTTTTGTTTGTTACTAATGTGAGATCTATCTGATCCATCAGTATTGCTTCATATTTCAACATCATTGAGTCTCTTAACCACCTTCTAGCTTTCTGACTCAACACGCTCCTCACTGAGTGTGGAGTATGCACAATGATAGTACCTCCAAATGTTAATTTTCTACTTTCTTCTACCAAAATCGCAGTAGCAGCTACTGCCTGTATGCAGGTTGGCCACCCTCGACTCACAGGATCCAGTTTTGAGAGATAAGCCACTGATTTCTTTTGCTCTCCCTGATCCTGAACCAACACTCCATGAGCCGCTCCATTCTCTGCATTTACAAATAAGTAAAAGTTCCACCTGTTTTCTTTACTGGAAGTATAGGAGTGTTATGGGGAGACATACAAGGTTCAAGGGTGCCATCCTGCAGCAAGGATTCAATCACTGGTTTAAGTCCTTCTTTCCCTTCTCTTGGTATATTATATTGTTTTACCCTGATAGAGCGTGACTCATCTTCTACTGTTACCTTAATGGGGAGAATATTCAACCCTCCCTGATTCCCTTCCTTGGCCCAAACCTCAGGTTTCACCTCCCTCTCATCCTCCTCCCATAATTCAAGTAATTTAACCACCATTTTTCCTTCATCCGGCACCACACCTATTCCTAACTGCACTTGTAAATCTCTACCTAGCAAATTACATCCTAGCCCTGGCATTAACAACATATTGATCTTCCCCTTGTATTAACAAATTCTTTATAACTGGGACCGAAAACCTTCGCCTTTAGCCCCTACAACCCAGGCTGTATCTTTCACATAATCTTCCTCCTGGGGTCCTAATTTCAAATGTATCAAGGGCTCTTCTGTTGGTATACCCCCCAGAAGGTAGAGCCCCTGACACCCCTAGGGATTACCACCCTCATCCTGTTGGGTTACTTCAAACACCAACAGGTTCCGCATTCTCTGAGGGCATTCTCGTTTACAATGCCCCCCCCCCCCCCCCTTTCCCACAATAAAAACATCCCCTTGTGATTTCCCTAGCCAGCGTTGCCTCTTCCCTTGGTCCCACTTTTCCTTCCATTCCCTTGCTTCTTTCAAATTTGTAATTTTCCCTCTGAGATTCCCTGTGTTTATTTCTAATAGCTTCTTGTGCAGTTATAATTTTAGCTTTAATTTTAGCCTTTTCTTCATCCCTCCTAACATATACTTTCTGTGCTTCTCTCAGGAGTTCATCCAGACTCTTATTATAATGACCTAGAGTCACTCGTATCTCTCCTCCCCTCTTGTTCATTCTGATTCCACTGCAAAGGGGTTACAGGGAGTTTCTGTTTCCCGGGTATCCCCTGCTGATTTTCTCTCTCCCATATCCACATTCCAGCCGTTCTAATCATCTGTCTCTCTTCAGGGGAAAAAAGGATTCCCATAATCGACTGCATCTCCGCCCATGTGTATACATTGGGTCCCCAAAATTGATCAATCTCTTCTGACAGCCCCACAGGGTCCTCTAATAACTTCTTCATTTCTTTCTTATACGCCCTCACTTCTACATTAGTGAGCAGCACATCCACAAATCCCATCCCCCCTTGAATTCCTGCCGCTGGAACTTCCCACGAGGGATTAACCCTAGCCTCCCTGTGCTCCCTTAAACGATTCCTCCCCCCGCTTCATTGCTGCCCGGTTTCAGGTCTGATATTAACAGGGGACTCCTCACCCGCATCGTCCTCCTCACCCGCATCTTCCTGCTGCACCCCTTGATTTTCCAGGTGTGCTGGGTTATATGGGGGGGTAAGTTATCCAAAGGGTCCCATCTCCTTCCCTTCCTTTCCCTTTCACCTTCTTCAACCTGCTCCTCCTGCTTCTATTTAAAAATCTCAAATCTCCACAACCCTGTCCAACACGAGGCATATTTACTTTCTTCTTGATTAAATGGTTCATTTGAATTAACATAAATATTTAGAGCTTGACAAATCCAATCCTCTTCTGATCCTTATTTTGGCCAATACACCAAATCTTCCCTGATAGGTCCTTTAGTCCATTCAAACATACAATAATTTACCATCTTGATCTTACTCTTTCCTCTGATATATGGGCTGTAATCCCAATTTGCTAATTTCTTTCCTAATGGACTGTCCGATAGAATACCACCTGGTAACTTCTTGCTCCTTTTTTTTTTTCTTTTTCCCCTCTTCTCCTCCCAGCCTTTCCCTAATGGACTGTGTGGGAAATGGCAATCCTTGGCTCCCTATTACCCTGGGAACTCAACCATCTAGCTCCTATTAACTTGTTTACTCAATTAGGTAACGGAAGTATCTTGTTTCCCCTTTTCCCAGGGAACTCAACTGTCTAGCTCCTAGTTCCTTGTTCACTCAACTAGACTAACTGAAGTATCTTGTTTCCCAATCCTGGGAAACAACTGCCTAGCTCCTAGTTTCTTGTTCACTCAACTAGGCTAACTGAAGTGTCTTGTTTCCCCTTCCCTCCCCGGGGGAGCCGTTCACTCCTTTTCCCTCGCTTCGTCTCTTCACCTGCCGTCCCCCTCGCGGGAGCACGGACCCGCGGTTACAAAGACTCCACAACCGCTTCGCCAGTGCGACCTGGGCCTCGCGTCTCACACACACACACCTTTCAGTCCTCCCCCCAGCCCGCCAGCCAGGCCCTCCTTACAGTCCCCTTTTCATTGCCCGGGTCTTGTGCACAAGGTGTAACGGCTGACGGGGTCTCCAGGGAGCCCTACCCCCTCTTTGGCCCACGAGTCCCCCGCCGGGATCGTCACCGCCACCCTCCGATGGTGCCAGAGGGAACCGAAGAGACCCCTGAGCTCAGCGGGGCGCGCCTTCCCTTCAGGGCCCTCTGGCCCCACGGCGGCGAGGCTTCTGTCCTCCCAGACGAGCCCCCAGTTGTGAGAAACAAGCCCACGTATATATGTTAAAAAAAAAAAAAAAGGGGTTTATTAGGGACAAAGTCAGTGGAGCAAAGAATACAGCACTGGGCACAATGATGCGCCCTCTGGAGCCAAAGGGGCTCCCTTTTATTGTATAAAACGTTATATATTCATCTACTCTAATGCATCTGCATCACTACTCCAAGGATAGGGAGGGAATATTACAATTAGTTCCAAGAAATCACTAACATATCCCCCCACCCCAAATTCCTCCCGTCGCGCTTGCGCAGTGCTCCCTGGTGGTCGTGGGCAGGGGTCTGCAGATGAAGGCTCGTAGTCTTCTTCACGGTGTTCGCTAGCTGACCCTTACTTCTGCGCCAACTCAGTCCTGTGGTCACGTACACCTTGTCCTTCAAGTCTGGGCTAATTTGCAGCTCCTTTGTCTTTATGACTCAGTGGTTTTAGTTCCTTTCTTATCTCAAGGACAAGAGATACCAGGGATGGCCCATCCTGTTCTTTCTCATTCCATTGCAAAGGAGTTACCGCCCTGTGATGGAGGCCATCTGGTGAGCACCCCAAGAAGGTGGGGGGGCTGTCAGGTTAGTGTTTCCTCAGATCAATTCCCCCCTTTTCCCAGTAGTAAATTCTTTTACTTTTCTTAAAATTTGGATTGTTGTACTAATAATAGCTTTAGCCTAACTCAATAAAAGTAATTGTTCAATTACTTTTAGCTAAAGCAAAATTCTGCTGTTACTTCTCACAATCCTTTTTACTGCAAATAAGCTGACTTCTATCAGCTGGCTGAAACAGCCAATACATGGAATCAGAGAAACTGAGGAATCAAAATTCATAGCAAAACAACATAGCAAAAAAAATATTTTAAAAAATGTCAGCAGACAATTCCTTTCGGCTTCTTCATATATATTCACAAGCAATCCACTATTACAGTTCAGAGATTTAATTCCTTGCTTTACAGAGCAAGCATGTGAGATATGGGCTCTCCGTACCAAGGAAGATTTAAGTAGCTTCAGGAGATGTCAGACTACTGTTAAAAAAAAGGGTGGGAATCAGAAGATGGGGCAAGAAGAGGCAGTAAAAACAGCTGTATGCTCACAAGATTACATTTTATACATCTTTAGAGCATCATCCTGTAGCACCTGCCGAATACCATTTACACAGAGCCAAGCATTGGCAATTCATTAAAGACTAAGCAGAACTTGGCAATACACTAGCAGGTGGAACAGAGGATTTGGGACCTTGACAGGGTGGTGCAAATCAACATGAAACCTCTGCAATTAAAGTTTGGAAGTCACAGCACACTGCATTTTATTTCACTTGGAAATTAAATTGCTTGCTTAAAACGCTGCTAAGACAGACAATCCTAAACCACTTCTCTATGGCATGTGGACTTCGGTGTTGAGTAAAAAAATGAATCTTTCCACGTGGAAATAGGCCAATTATTTTTCAGTGTAATTCTAAAAATCAAAGAAATTAACAAACCACTTCTGCATGCTGTGACTGCAAACATCCCTCTCTGCAGAAAATGTGAATGTGGCAAGAACTCGGATAGAGCAAAATCAGAGACACCAGAATGCTGAATATTTTACTGAAAGGCTGTGCTGAATAAGCCATGGATTACTCTTTTGGAGGCTTCAGAGATACTCATCATGAGGATGTGGGGCTTCGCCAAAGGAGCAGCGTCAGGTCCCTGGCCCCGTATTTTCCAGAAAATGGGGGCCTCGGCCGCAACTAGTGCGTTCGACATCTGAAGACCTTCGCTTAAAGGCCTGAAGACCTGGGAGCCCTCTTGCTGCTTCACCTCCAGCGGCAGCACCGAGGTTGACCCTCGGGAGAGGCAAAGGCCATCTGGCGGTAACCCTGCGGAAGGGAACGGGGCATTTCCCCCGCCGGCGGGCCCCGCTGAGGGGAGGGAGACGGCGGGCGCCATTGGCAGCCCTGCCGGGGGGCGGCGCCATTTGCAGCCCCTCGCGCCCCCTCCTCAAGATGGAGGCGCGGCGACCGCTCGTCTCGCTGCCGTCGGGAGGCCCCCGCCCTCCCTCTTGGGATGGAGCTGGACCCAACCCCTCGTCTCCCTTCCCCGGGCTCGCTGCCTACCCGCAGGTGCGTCTCCTTTCTGCTGCGGCGGGCTGGGCGTGTGCGTGGGGAAGGGGAAAGGGAAGGGGGGGGGTGTCTCTGGGCAGTGATCCTGCGCGGAAGGCGGCGGCCGCCGGGAGGTGTGCGGGGGGATGGCGCCCGCTCCTGAGTCAGCAGCGGCGGGGCGGCACGGCGGGCCCCCAGTACCGCGCCGCCGGGAGGAAGGGGGCTGTGGGGGCCCCGCCGGCTCTTGCCCTCCGCCGCCGACAGGTAGGCTCGCCGGTGCGGCCGCGGGTGGGGAAGGACTGGAAAAGCGGAGTGGGTGCTGCCCGGCTCCCCGCTTGGGCGCCAGGTGACTTAACCCCCCGAGCTGAGCGCTGGGCTCGGCGGGGGAGCGAAGCGCAGCCCACCCGGTGTGAGGGGCTCCGGGGAGAGGAGAGCTCTGGCCCGGGTGTGAGCGGCGGCCGCGCTGGCATGGCGATGGGACAGCGGTAGCAACGGCCCGGCCTTCGGGGAGCTCGCCCTCCGCCTGCGTGGGGCGAAAAAAATGCGTGGGGCGAAAATGCGTGTGCAACCTGTTAGGCCTGGAGCGTGGGGAGAAACAGCGGTGCGCTGCGGTGGGGGAGTGAGTATATGTTTTGGTATTTAACTTGCAGGTAGGTTTATTTATGTTCGTATAAATATGTATATATGTATTTATGTATGAAGGCTCAAACAGTTTAATGGGAAGTTTCCTTAGTGTGCATGTGAAATTTACTATATCTCATCTGAGCTCACAAATCATGCTTTTATCTTGTTCTGTGTGTGTGTGCATGAATATATACATATATCTTTAGATATTAATATGTCCAAAGACTGTAAGAATATTACTTGTCAAGTTATTCTCCAGTCTTCTGTTAGATGGTGTGTTTGCTACAGCCTGAACGTGTATTTACATCTGACGGTTGAACATGGTGCTGATGAGTAGGACGTGAAATGCTTTGTCAGAGTGCATTCTGAGCAGTAGAGCAGAGCTGTCCTGGTTTGAGCTCAGAGGGCAACTGAGCACCACGCAGCTGTTCACTCACCCCTTCCCCTTTAGGAATGGGAAGGAGATAATGAAGAATAAATGAATCAGGAATCCAGATAAGGACAAGGAGGGGTACTCACCCATTATGGTTATGGGCAAAAGACAGACTCCTTAGGGGAAGATAAAAAAAAAAGTCACTTTAATTCAAACAGTAACGAAGACAACACTTAGATAAGGTGGGACAGTGAGAAGTGCCACCACATCCCAAAACACCTCCCCCCACCCCTTCCGTCTTCCTGGGCTCAGATCTGCTCTCCGTCTCTTCCCCCAGCATCTCAGGGGCAGGGGATGGGGCTTACAGTCAGCTCCCCACTCCTTCCATCTCGGGGTGGGGGTAGGGGTGTGGGGTGTGAATGCCGCACATCCCTCCCCTGTTCCATGGGACTCCCCTCTCACTGCAGACAGTTCTCCGCAAACCTTCTCCAGTGTGAGTCCTCCCCACAGGCCACAACCATTCCCGAGCTGATCTGGTGTGGGTCACCCCTGCATGTTGCAGTCCTCCCAGTGCTGAACTACAACTATGGGGGCCGTTTCTCCCCTTAGAGTCCTGACCTCCTTTAAGCACAGATGCTTATCCTGGTGTGGGCTCCTCCTCTGGCTTCAGGTCGGCCTCTGTTCCACCAGTGACCTCCATGGGTGGTAGGGTGGGCAGCCCTGCTGTCTCCCCATGGGATACAGGGGTCTCTGCTCTGGCACACCTGCCCCCCTTCTTTCTCCTTCCTTCCGCTGACCTTGGTTTTCTTCTTTCTCATAACTCTTCCTTACAAGTTTCAACCCCCTCTCAGGTTACGCTTCTTAAGTACATTATCACAGAGGTGCAGCCACCGTCTCTAATCATCTTGGCCTTGGTTGCAGAGGTGGGTCTGATTTGGAGCCAGGGGAGCTTTTGAGAAGCTTTTCACAGGGATCACCACTATAGCCCCCTCCTGCTACCAAAACCACCGCCACACAAACACAGCCCATGAGCTTAAACAGAAGAAAATACTATGTGTGACTTCTGGTATCACTGCAGTTTTGGGTACTGTCTATGTTGTGGTTGCTATACAAAACCAGAAGACAGTTCCATCACTCCCCTGACCCCCTTCAGGAGCATATTGCAGATAACCTATGGATGGTCAGATAGTTGAGAGAACAAACTAAAGCATAAACTGTTTTGCCCTCTGTTCCACACTATCTGTTTGTTCCGTATAAGAATTCTCATGTTCCTCATATTGACTGCATGACAAGATAGTGGAGTTGACTTAGGATATACTGGCTTTTAAACTCTTTGGGGTAGGTTCTGTAGCTGTCTCTACAGTAGTTTGTAGTAGGAGACTCATCCTCATCCATAGAACTCTACGTTTGTTTTAATTATCCACTCCTTGTGTTTACAAGGTTGACTGTTGCAGTTGATATTTCACAATTAGGCATTGTCTTGAGCCAAATCTGAACCATTAAAACCTGGCATAATACAAAGTTAATACTGACCAAACTCATTTTGGTACCTTAGATGATGGGGGTTGAGCTGCTCAGCATGTTACACATCAAACTGTGTGCCCAAGTGGTGCAGAGAAGGCGAAGAGTGTATGTGTGCAAACTTCATGGGCTGATGCTTTTCCCTTAAGCCCAAGACAGCAGAAGATGCTGTGTAGCCTGGATTTTACATTACTTGAGCTAATGAGTTATGGTCGTGGTCTGTGGAGGAGGCTCTGTGCTGGGGATGCTTGTCCAGTTGAGCCTTTTCCCACCTTTTTCTTCAGGGGAGTACTGTGGTGGAGGAGTGGAGGTGCACTTCTGTAACACTTCTGAAAACCTCAGGTTCACGTGCAAAAGATGAATCTGTTACATCTTCACTAGTTGCCTGTCAGTGAGTTGCAATTCTATCAGTTGTAATGAGCTGCATGGAGTGAGGAAGTTTTGGTGACCTGGAGATGCTGTAGTTTAGTTCAGCTTTTCAAACAGCTGACCTCTCACCGTGTTGGTTTTGGATGCTGTCTGAGCAGGCTTCTAATTTCAGTGGTGTGGAGGTGGGAGAGTTGCTATGGTTAGTGACATGTCCATCAGGAATGCTTTAAAAGCAGTTGATTTCCTCCCCACTTGCACATACACAGTACCTGCTTCAGGTGGAGCCCTTCAGTCCTTTTCCAGCTGTACCTTCTGTGGTGTTGAATAAAGTAGGCTTGCTGTGGGCTTCTTCACATATTGGTTGTATTGACTTCAATTACAGGTCTTTAAGAAGGCATGTGGTGGTGCTTTATGTTTGCTAGTTTTGACAGTGGTACTAAATATATATCCTTAATAGGAACTTGGTGATTAAAGGTGGAGTTGTGATCAAGTGCTGTGTATCCAGCAGACTCTGATTTCAATGCTGTAGAGAAAGCACAGAACCACCGAAATGGATATTGTACCCAGGGGGAGAAATCCTTCCTACTCTTAGGCAGTTAGCTTTCAATTTCTGTCACAAAATGTCTTTCTGTACAAATTTATAATCTAATTTAACTGCAGATATAGTTGCTTTTCCATTTGAGTCGCTCATCTCTTTCTGAATGGTGCCAGGGGTATGACTGTTGAGTATTTTTCAGGATAATGTGACTCTGTTCTGAGCAGATAGGAATTCAGTCAATCCAGTTGGAGGTAATATGACTGTAGTTAGCCTGATGCCAGCTTTCAGCTAGTTAATGATGAAGGGGCAGTTTAGTAGTTATTTCATGTCCTAATGCATTTTCCTTGATAAATCTGACCTCTGTACAGTTTATTAACTCTTCTGCATGTTACAAAGAGTTCCACAGGTTAAATATAGATGGATTTTAAGGACTCAGTTGTCTGAGGTGGGGCTACAGAGGTTTGTGTTTTAGAGGGGTGCACACCTGTGATTTATCAGTTTATAACAAGTAGTCTTCTGAACAGCATAGTTAATGACTATTTCTGTGACTTTCTGTCTTGAGGTCAAACAAGGATTTTTCTGTTGTCTTTGCATGTGCCTCTACATTTTTTTTGTATAGCCCCCTCATTTCACAGACTGCACTGATGGTGTGACACACAGGCTACCATTCTCAATTATGGAAATTGGTTGATGTGTTTTTTGGGGACTGTTTTGACAGAAGTGGTAGGAATTTAATTACCTGCTGGTAATCTCTTCCCTGGTAGAAATCAGTTGATGGCTTAAAAGGTACTGTAAGTAAAAAAACCCAAATGGATCTATTTACACAGTGGTCAAGTAAGCTTTTTCTCTGCAGGAGACCAGACTAACAATGGACATAAAACTTCACATGGTCATGTGGGTGAAAAGACTCCTGCCCCAAACCCTTAGCCAAGAAAATGTACTAATTTCTCTGATCTTGTATCATTCAACACACGAGATTTCAAGTCTAGAAATGGATGTACAGCATCCAGCTACATTGAGGCTTTTCCTGAAAGTGATAAAATAGCATGACACAAATGGAGAGACTGCTGATGTACTTAGTTTGCAAGATTTTGCCTTTTCTGGCTAGCTGTTGTTGTACCACCTTATGAAAGCTTTTTTTCATGCGGTATCTCAGGCAGTGGCTGGGTGTTCAGTAATCTCAAAAATGGTCAGTTAGCTTTGTTGATATTAGTACTTATATTGCTTGAGCCAGTCTCTGCCAATCAACCTGTGAACAGGCCTTGAAGGCTAGCATAAATTAGATGCACTTATGTAACTTCTGAATCTGGTTTTATAACACCTTAGTCTTTTAATACAAAAATATTAGCTAAAATCCTAGCACATCCAATTGACTTCAAGTGTCAGACTTTCTTCTACTATATGGCATATTGTTAATTAATGAAGGTAATATCTATCACCTGAAGGCCATAAAACAGGAAGTTTGCTTTTCATTTTAAGTGAGGTGGGTTCCAGAGAACTTTTTCAGTAAAACTTAATTTTGATGTCGTAGCCTTACATTGTGTTCCTCCACAATGTCTGCGTTGTAAGTACTATTACTGCTGTAATGTCAAAGTG